AGCAGCAGCAGCAGCAGCAGCAGCAGCAGCAGCAGCAGCAGCAGCAGCAGCAGCAGCAACACCACCACCACCACCACCACCATCATCACCATCACCATCACCATGCAGCCGCCGCGCCTCCTCCTGCTGCTTCTGCTGCTGCTGCAGCAACAGCAACAGAAGCAACAGCAACAGCAGCAGCAGGAACAGCAGCAGCAGCAGCAGCAGCAGGAGGCCCTTATACTGTAGGCGTGGTGGATCGTATAGAGACCTGGTGCACAGTGCTGTGGGAGACAGGCAATGTGGAGACAGATGTTCGAAGCTGTCTCTTAACACCTGTAGCTCTCGATAGGACGCCCTTTGAGCCCAGCGACTGCACACTGTCTCCTCTGCTTCTTCCTCATATGGTTGTTCAAAGAAGAAAGCCCCAGCAGCAGCAGCAGCAGCAGCAGCAGCAGCAGCAGCAGCAGCAGCAGCAGCAGCAAAGGCTGCCTTCTTCTTCGGCATTAAAAATGCTGCCCTGGTGGAGTAGGGTACATCATGGGGGTTTGCAAATATCGGGGGGGGCCCCTGTAGAGCCGCTGCTGCAGCAGGTGCAGCAGCGTGCTGCTGCTGCTCAGCTGTATAGGGAACTCGTTATTGCTGTTGGGGCGAGCAGCAGCACTTCCAGCAGCAGCAGCAGGAGCAGCAGCAGAAGAAGAGGCAGCAGCAGCAACGACAATAATGCTGAGTTGCTGCAGGCTGCAGCAGAACGCCGGCGTGCGCTGCGGCTACAGTATCAAGAGCTGCAGCTGCAGCAGCAGCAGCAGCATAGCCCTGCCCTTAGCAGCAGATTCAGCAGCAGCAGATTCAGCAGCAGCAGGCAGCAGCAACAGCAGGGTGGGGGGCCCCCGAGCGACTCAGGCGGGTCTTCTCCAGATACACCTGAAGCTAATCCCTCTTTGAGGCTAGCAGCATATGAAGCAGCAAAAGACAGTCTTTCTTTGCTGCTGCAATTAATAACAGAGATTAATTATCGTCATCACTTTGAACAAACAAATTTGCGTTTCCCTCTCCTCCGCACTCCGCCTCCTAACCCTCAATTAACAAACATTCAAACTTCTTCAATACAAACAGCTGCAGCACCAAGGGGGGCCCCCTTATGTTCGGGG